CAGGTTAACACCACAGTGTTCATCCGGGAGGCGACTCACAGCTGCTGCAGCAAACACTTGCAGACAAGTCGGCTGCCTTGGGTAGACTCATCCAACTTCCATTACAGCAGTCCCAGGTCGACTCTGTAATCAGACACGTCATCAGTAACAGGGACACACTAGGACACCTTACTTACAGGCTTAGACACAAACGCCCGACGTATCTACTCCATAGATGGCGTTGCTGTCTAAGCTCCACCTCACCAGAGGTCAGCAGCGGCTGTGTTATGAGCTGATCAGGACGGGAAACTAGCGCTTGTGGCCAGTATAGCTCGTCCTCACTCGTTGACGCCGTCCATTTGGAGGGGGTTTCGGGAGCTGACCCACAGATGGCGTGGTCGTCACTGCTCCGTGCTCAGACGTCGGGCTCGGGTCCGTAACACCTCCCCACCAAAAAGAATTTGGTTTGGGGTTCTATAAAAGAAAAGACAAACCAAATTAGTACGTGGATACGACTCCACACAGATTCACATACACTATTAACTGGAATGGTGAGGCTGTCTTGTCCACAGAACTGTACTACTGGGGAACTCTGGCACAAAGGAAACTTTAAGATGGAAGACGATAATCTGCCTGATGTAACCTTCCACCTCTCAACTGCGATGTCAAGCAGGGGCATAATCTCACATCTCTCGAGTAAGGATCGATATAAACACGACCTGGGGCGACTCAACACTTCCCTGTGTCGGGGCACCGATGATGGCTGGTCACAGACGGCATTTCTGGTACCCGGTCCGGTAGTCCTTCAGGGAGACGGGAACCTGGAATACAGGGGTCTGATTATTTAGAGTGACAGCGACAGTCGAATCAGTACTCACAGCATACGCCTCTACTAGGCTCACACCTAGTTCCAACAGGGCTGCTTGTACATCGAGGATGGCATTCGCTCTGCCACCGTCAGGTCGACCAACGTTCCGTATAACGCTGCAATTAGGCTCAGCAATCACGCGGGGGGTGTCAACCTGTCGGAAATAGTCACTTATATTATCATATCTCGTACCTCCTGTATCTACCATCACCTTCCAGGTCCCTTCTTCGACGGCAACACTCACAGTGCACGTCTCTAATCCCTGGGATCTCTTCGCGATGTTCATGGGAGCCATCATCTGTTGGATCGTCCACTGGTCCTTACTGAGAACACATATGAGAACAAAACAAAACACCGCTAAGAAACATTTGGCTAACTTAGGGATAAGCTTCCTGAGCCTGTCATGTCCATAGCCGGCAATTTCCACTAGCCTGGTTTGGACCGAAGAGGGCACTAGACCTTTTGAACATACCTCACATACCTCCGACGTCTGGGGAATCTCTGGCTGGTTCAGCATACATTGTACTTTGCCATGCCGCAAGTACACATCCGCCTTCGCTCCAGACTCTTTGGTATCCGTGGGTACTTGCACACGAGACCTCTCTTCTTGCTCAGTCGCTCCTGCCATCGTAACCGTATGTTCCTCGTCGGGAGAAGAATCAGGAGAGACTGCTATAATGCTGTCGATCTGCGGGTGAGAGGAAGGATTAAACATATCTAATTCCGGATCTGTCCGTACTTGGATATTACCACTGCCTGCTGTTACCTCGGACCTTGCTGTTCCGGCCGACTCGTCCTCGACCTTGGGATGATTGTTGCGCCAAACTGTCACCAAGTCGTTGGCTAGTACCACGTCAATCCCAGCTATAGGCAGGGTATCGACTACTGCCAACGCACATGTGCAGCTGAAGTAAGGCGAGTCGAGATGTACCGGCACTAAGGGGGCGACGTACCGCGTCCTAGGAAACCCGACTAGGACAACCTTTTGTCTCCTATCCACACTCACTCCCTCGGGTAACGAGCTACTCACGATCAGAGACTGGGCTGCTCCACTATCTCTGAGCACTACAACAGATCTACCAGTATGACCACTCGATACATACCCGCTTGAAGTGTGAGGGGAAAACAATCTGGATTCTTCCTGACTAGTCATCAGGGACGGGGTTCCCTCTGGTGGTGTCACACAGCTCATTAGCATCACCTCCCTACGTGGGCCGCTACCTCTTCTGCCTCGGCACATAGCAGCTACATGCCCTTTTTGCCCACAGGTCCAGCACACCATATTCCTCCTCGGACTTCGGTGCTTAGGACTGTTAGGACTAGTCCTTCGAGGGCTACTTGGGGGCGTCTTCTTAGCGCTTCGTGGGACGGGGGTCTCCTCTTCGTCATGAGGTTTGTCAAACCGGCGTTGGTAATTCCTCGGGACGTACTTAGCAGAAGGCCTATGCGTCAGGATGTATTCCTCAGCCATGGTGGCTGCCGCACTCAAGGTCTCCACCTGCTGCTCTTCTAAGTACGTTTTTAGATCTCCAGACAGACAATCCTTGAAGTCCTCTAACAGTATGAGCTGCTCGAGGTCTTCTTTGGTCTCCACCTTCCGAGAGGCACACCATTCCTGGAAAAGTCGCTCCTTGATAGTGGCGAATTCGGTGAAAGTGTGCTCTGAGGTCTTTTTCAGGTTTCTGAACTTCTGCCTGTAAGCCTCAGGTACCAATTGGTACGCCATGAGCGCCATGGCGTACCCTAGGCAAAGTTCGTAATGCAATTTGGATTTTACGAAGAAATTGGGCTCGTAACCTGAAAATTTGTAAAGAAGGGCATTTGTGAGCCGAGGTATCACTTTACTTCTCCTGGAGCCGTGTGTATATGTAAATGTGTGTTTGATTATTTGTATATGAGTAATAATATGTTTTATGGCCGCCTGTTGTTTCTTTTCCAGGGTACGTTTTCCCCCAAAAGTTGTGGTGTTTCGGGCTCCGTTTTGGGTTCAGGTTCATTTCCAGTTTCCTTTGGGTTCTTCGGTTTTGTCTCCTGGAGATTTTCCTCTCAAATTTCTCTTGTACAGGTTTGGGTGGCCCTTGGTGGTTTCCTCCGGTGTGGCCCAGTCTTGGCCTCTAATCTGGCCCCGACCTCTATTGAGGGGCGGTCCCTGGGTCTTCCTGGCTTGCAGACGGCTGTCTTGCTTTGGCCTGGGCCCCAGCTCTGGGGTTTTCTCCACTCTTTTGTCTGTTTTGTTTGCAGTCTAGGTTGTTCCTCAGTTCCTGGCAGCTTCTGCTGCTGCCATCCTCTTTCTGCTTTGTTGGTGATCCGGGTCGACGTTCTCGTGCTCCCGGCTGGATCGTGCCAGGGTTCGGGTCTCTGCAGGTCGAGGTAGGCCTTGTTGTTAGTTTTTGAACTGGCACCACCTTCTCGTACGGGGTGTTGGCTCTTTCGTGGGTTGCCCCCACGGGAGCCGGGGACACTAAAGCCTCGAAATAATCTCAAGATAACCTCAAGATATTGCCCCGTTACCAGGATGCTGGTGGGGGGGGGGGGGGGCAGAGACACGTGCTGTTTGCTCATGCCTGATCCCATGATTTGTGGTTTTTTTGGGTTGTCATCCGGCCTGTGGTGGCATTGGGTGGCTCCTCTTTCTACCGGGGGATTCGGGGCTGACTTCCCATTCACTCTGTCAGGTCATCTTGGAGTGGGTGAGCTTGGGAGTGGTCGAAAAGACCTTGTCCCTCAGGTGGGTTTCCCGCCTGTTTCCAGTACCGAAATGGGACTGTGTGGATATGTGGTTCATTCTGGACTTGTCCTGCTGAACCTCTGGATTCCTTGCCCCTCCTTTCGGATAACTACTCTGTCCCTGGTTTGGCTTCTGTTAGAGCCGGGTTGTTGGTTGGTGATTCTGGATCTCCGGGATGTATATTGGCACCTCCCTATTCATCTGGAGTTCAGGGACTGGTTAGGTTTTGTGGTGGAGGGGCAGGCTTACCGCTTTCGTTGCCTTCCTTTTGGGTTGAATCTGGTGCCTCGCATATTCACGTGTCTTCCCGGTTCGTGGTGGCCCTTCTGCATCTGCTAGTGGTTCAGGTGTAGGCCTATCTCGACAACTGGTTGGTGTGGGCTCCCAGCCGGTCTGCTTGTCTGCTCACCAGGAGGGGGGGGGGTGGTTCTTTCCCAGTTCACCGGATTCTGGTTCCTGGTGAGCTGGAGGAAGTCTCATCTGGTTCTATCCAAAGGTTCGGACCCAGCTGGGCCTCGTGAGGGACTCTCGGAACACTTCCTTGTGTCTCCCTCCGGAGGCATTGCTGCTGCTGCAGTCCTGCCTTCTGCTGTTTGGGGGGGGGGGGGTTCCCGGGTTATGTGGTGGTTGCTCGAGCAGTTGTGCAGGAGTCTGACCTTCCCTGTGCCGATTTACTCACTGGGTCGGGTCTGGCTTCAGCGTTTGGTAGCTCCAGGGAGCCAGAGGAACTCTACACAGAAAACCAGCGTTGAATGTAATGAAACGCCATTTTCTGGGTGAGTCCCGGAGGCTCCCCGGCACCCTCGCTCCCTCCGGTCGGCGGTTTCCATTTTGTTTTTGATTCTCAGCCTCTGAATTAGGCTTGTGAGTAACCGGTACGGGAGGTCCAGGGCTTCCCCTTCACCCTCCCAGGGAGGGGAGGGCTGCGTGGACAAGTGGTGTGGCGGTGTGTATGATGTTTGCTTGTTTCTTTAGATGGGGGGGTGGAATCTGCCTCTCTATTCGGTCTCTGGTTGCAATTTTTCTTACCATGTGGGGTCTGTTTTGTTATGCCTACCTTTCTGAGTGCTAACCCCAGTTGATGGCAGATATAGAATGTCCCCAAATACATGGGGTTTCCATAGGCTATTGCTCCCTTTGCCTTTTTGAGGCGGCCAGGTTCTGGCTTGTGGTCCTCGGTAGGCTGAACTCCAATTGACTGATGACCCTGGACTAATATGCACATATCAATCCGATAGCTCCAGAGAACCGGAGGGACTCGCCCAGAAAATAATTTTTTTCGTTGTAAATACATGTAACTTGATCAAATATTCTTTATCCACAGGATAACAACCCAGAGGAATGCTCAGTGTGTTTTAACAATTATGATGACACTCTGCTACGGCCTCGCAATCTGCCTTGTGGTCACCCATTCTGCTCCCAGTGTATTGACAATGCTATCAAGAATGGTCAGCTGAACTGCCCCAGCTGCCGAGCCCAGCACACTGCCACTGCTGCTACTCAGTTCCCAATCAGTTATGGTATAGAGGCCTTTATCAGAAAACTAAAAGGTATGGAGGTTGTGCCAGTGACAACGGTACCCACAAAACCCAATAAAGCTCCGACCAGAGGCATCAGTAAGAAGTTACGTTCCCTGGTGGAGGAGCAGAAGAGCAGCATCAGCAGCCTCATTACCAGCTGTGAAGAGGTACTGTCCCAGCTGGGGGAGTACCGGGGGCAGCTGGGGGACTGGAAGACTCAACACCTCCAGCTCCAGGACAGACTCTATGCTCTGGTAGAGCAGAACAAGTCAGCAATGAAGCTCTTGGAACTGGAGGATACCAGTGTGGTGGATATGACAACACAAGGAGAGGAAGGGAAGACTCGGCTGCAGGCCATGTTGGGGAGCCTCGACACAGTCAACACAGCACAGGAGGTTGACACAACCATAGACACAGCTGATGAGTGCAGCATGAAGGTAGAAGATTGGCTCCAGAAGTGCCAGGAACTCTTCCCAGATGTCAACACTGTCCACACCTCAGTGAAGGTATGCTGCTGAAGGTCACATTGTTCTCACCCAACTGAGTGTAGTATTGCCTCTATATAAACACTTTTGATATGGAGACACATCAAGATGAGAGTAAACTTTATATATATATAGGATGATATGGAGACACATCAAGATGAGAGTAAACTTTATATATATAGGATGATATGGAGACACATCAAGATGAGAGTAAACTTTATATATATAGGATGATATGGAGACACATCAAGATGAGAGTAAACTTTATATATATAGGATGATATGGAGACACATCAAGATGAGAGTAAACTTTATATATATAGGATGATATGGAGACACATCAAGATGAGAGTAAACTTTATATATATAGGATGATATGGAGACACATCAAGATGAGAGTAAACTTTATATATATAGGATGATATGGAGACACATCAAGATGAGAGTAAACTTTATATATATAGGATGATATGGTGACACATCAAGATGAGAGTAAACTTTATATATATATAGGATGATATGGAGACACATCAAGATGAGAGTAAACTTTATATATATAGGATATATAGGAAACTTTTATATATAGTTTTAAACCCTGAAACATTTTTATTAATAAAGTCAACTGTCATCTTGGTATTTCTCTACACTGTGGTCAGCACTCAGTGTTCACTACACTGTGGTCAGCACTCAGTGTACACTACACTGTGGTCAGCACTAGGCCTACCGGGGACCACGAGCCAGAACCTGGCCCCCGTCAGAGAGGCACGAGGAGCAATGGCCTATAGAAATGCACATGTGATTTTGGAGCATTCTATATCTGCCATCGACAGGGACAGGCACCCAGAAAGGTAAGCGCCCCAAAACAAACCGCTATTCTGGTTAAAATGATGAAAATAGACAAACGAGTGGACAGAACTCCCCAAATGAAAACGAGCAAACGAGCATGACGTCACACGAGCCGCACCGCATGTCTGCGCAGCTCTCCACTCCCAGAGAGGGGGAAGGGGGAGCCACAGACCCCGCGCCGGCGATCCACACCCTAGTTCTTCGGCTGGTGTGATACATCATCAGTCGTGTGGCTCCAGCTCCAGACTCTTGTGTTGTGCTGTGCTTGTTTCAGTGCTGCTCTTACAGTGGTGTGCGAGCTGGGAGTAATATTCCAAGGTACTCGGGCTGCATGTGCTTAGGGTTCTCTTCCCTAAGTGCCCTGTAAGTACCGCCCTTGGGGCTTGGGGTTCTCTTCCACAAGTCACCTTGGGTCTACCTCTTTTGATCCTTTGCTGCTTGGTGAGTGACCACCCCGAGTGTTTTGGGGGGGTTTCTATCCTTGTTTGCCCTAGGGTTAGGGGTAGTTTTTGCACTGGTAGGGGCGTGGGGTACTGCGCAGCTAGTTTTTGCCTATAACAGTGGGTGGCTCTGTTCCTTCTGGGTACTCTGTCCTCTTGCGAGGTTTTTTTTTTTTTTTTTTTTTGCCTGGTGGGGGGGGGGGGGGTCTGCCTTAGTGTTACTTCCCCTGTTATATTAGGGTTGTTTTTGTTTGGTGGTACCCCCTGCTTCATTCTCGTGAGTGGACAGATCCGGGGATTCAGCTTTAGCAATGTTGTTTGGTAGCTTGGGCACCGGTTAGCAGTATCCTGCCTGGGATTACCTTAGCAGACCCAGTCTAGGGGCCCTGGGAAACCCCTTGGGGGCACTTGGGTCCAATAGATGGGACCCCGGAGTTCCCTCTCGCTGTGTGCAAGTTTGAGGGTTGCTCTGTTCCCATGTCTCGGTGTGACGCTCATTATATTTGCCTCCGTCATGCTGCCTATTGGGTCGGTGACACATTCGACGCCGAGTCCTGCGAGCTCTGTTGCTTGTTTGTGGCTCAATTCACCCAATCTGATGATGACATTATTTGGGTGTTGGCGGCTCGCATGTTGTCAGATAGGTTTAGGTTGTTGCAATGTGCTAGGTTGGTTGCTTCCCCGGATGCCCCGAGGCTGCCCCGTTTTGCTTATAGGGACCCGGACTTGGGGGTGTTGGTCACTTCCACCTTGGTTCCGTATGCACCCCCTCGTTCTTCCTCTGGTGTGGTTTATTCAGTCCCTCCTCTCCCCCCTTCCCCTTGCTTCCATCTCCTATGCATGTGAGGGCTTCGGGGTCGGGGCAAGGTTTAGAGGTTTCTGAGACTCGGGCGGTTTCGGGGGCTGCCCCTTCCTGGGTGGCGACGGAGGCATTCGAGTCTGTTCCTCCATCCATAGCTCCAGTGTCTGAGCAGTGGGCCCATTCTCTCCTACTCTTTCGGCCTCCCCGGCCTTTTCTTGTGAGGCCGGGGCTTTGGAGAATGACTCACCCACGGGTCCTGATGTGGACGTTCCTGGGGTTGGGGAGGGGCTAACTTGGAGGCCTTGGGCCCCTGTTGAACTCTGCCTGGGTTTTCCGACCCTCCGAGCGGAGCTTGCTGTTACAAGGAGTGGGGTTTTCCTTTCCCACCTCTGCGTATGACTTGGATTTGGGTTCGACTCATCCCTAGGTTTGGTTCTGTGTCCCTGTGGGTCTTTCGGTTCCGTCTTTCCAGAGGTTTTCGGCTTCCCGCTTCTCGTCTACTGAGGTGTGGGCAGCTATTGTAGCTTACCTCCTGCGTGACCCAGAGTATGCCTCTATAATGGATCCGTCTTCTTTCAGGTTTGGATCTTCGTCTCCATACTGGGTTTGTTATGAGGTTCCGGGTTCGTCCTGGCTTGCAGACTGCCATTTGTTCTCGCTAGATGCTTGGGAAACCTTCTGTTGTACCAGCATGCTTGAGTGGCGCGAGGCATCTACTGTGGTCCAGGTTTACCTGGAGGGTGATTTTGTGCACCTTAATGAGTGCCTTTTCACTCCTGCCCTTCTGTGGTATGTTGGCGCGATTCAGCTTCACATGCAGATTCCTTCCCTGTCGGCTGCGCTTGTGGCGTGTTGGCTTCGGTCCTGCGTTTCTTTCCCTCCTGGAGCTGTCTTCGGATTGGCTTGAGGAGGATGTGGAGGTGCTTAAGGTCGTTCCCGAGTCTGGCGCCTTGGTCTCGGCTGCTTGTGCGTCATCTGCGCTTTAGAAGCTGTTTGCGCTCGTCCTGCAGGATGCGCTATCGTGGTTTTTCGCAGCACGTCTCGCTCGTTGGCAGGTGATTCTTGCTTCCTCCTTGGAATCCGCTTGGACCCTGGCTCTTAGGTTGTCTTCGCCCTGTTTTCCTTTATTGTTTGCGGCCTCTGTGGTCGAGCAGTACATGCGGGTGGTTTCTTCCAGTTGCTGTACGATGTCGGACTTGTTGGTTCTCCGGGAGTCCCACGTGGGTTCCAGGCTGGAGGAGTCGTGCCAGGACTCGCAGTTCCGCTCGTCTGGATAGGCCACAGATGCCAGTTTCGGAGCCGGCGCTGCCTTCAGTCCCGGCTGCACCTAGTTGGCACAATGCTTGCTCTGTGTGCAGGTCAGGTTCTCACAAAGGGCGTTGGCTCTTTTGTGGTTCACCCCATTGATGAGGCGATGGGGGGAAAGATTTGCTCTGTTCGCTTACACCTGGTCTCACGATTCGTGGGCTTTTCGGGTCGTTTATAGGGGCCTGTAGAGGTGTTGGGTGGCTCCTCTTCCTTCGGGGGGTTTGGGGCTAGCAGGGCAGTCCTCTTCCCCCTGCACTATCAGGTCATCTTAGAGTGGGTGCACTTGGGTGTGGTCGAAATGATGTCTCTCAGGTGAGTTTCCCGCCTGTTTCCAGTGCCGAAACGAGACTGTGCGGACGTGTGGTTCATTCTAGACTTGTCTAGTCTGAACCCCTGGGTTTCTTGCGCCCTCCTTTCGGATGACCACTCTGCTCCAGGTCCGGCTTCTGTTGGCGCCAGGCACTCGGATGGTGATCCTGGACCTCAAGGACACGTATTGGCACAGCTTGATTCATCCGGGGTTCAGGGGCTGGCTCAGTTTCGTTGTGGGGCATCAGAGTTACCGCTTTCGTTGACTCCCTTTCGGGTTGAACCTGGCACTCGGGAGCCGGTCGGCCAAGCGAACAGCACGCTGGACTTGTGATCCTGTGGTCCCGGGGTCGATCCCGGGCGCCGGCGAGAAACAATGGGCAGAGTTTCTTTCACCCTATGCTCCTGTTACCTAGCAGTAAAATAGGTACCTGGGTGTTAGCTGTCACGGGCTGCTTCCTGGGGGTGGAGGCCTGGTCGAGGACCAGGCTGCGGGGACACTAAAGCCCCGAAATCATCTCAAGAAGATCTCAAGATATTGGCGCCTACCCGAGCCCTCGCTCAATGTGTTCATGGAAGCGTTATCTCTTGGCTGGGGCTTTATAACAGTGCTCACCAGCCCAGCCAGGGGTGGTGGGGTTCATCCTTCCATCGGGCCCACAGCACTGTGTGGGTGTTCGCTGCGAGGTGGTTCGCGCTTCGGAGGGTTCGGGTCGCCTGCGGATCAACGATCCGGCTCCATTCGGACTGCTCTCCGGTGGTTCATTGCCTGAACTGATGGGGTTCGATGCAGTCCTTTGCTCTTTGGGGATGGTCGCTTTGGGTGACTCGTCTGCTGAGTTCTCGGAGTTCTCCTGGGGGTTCACTTCTGGGGGGTGTCCAATGTCCTGGCGGACGGGCTGTCCTGGTTCGTTCCCCTGTCCATGGAATAGACGGTCGATGCCGACTCATTTAGTTGGCTCTGCCAGAAGTTCAAGCGCCCGTTCAGGTGGACCTCATCGGGTCGGCGTGGTCGAGGCATCTTCCGGTATATATGGCGCCCTTCCTCAACCATGAGGCTGTTGGGACCGACGCCTTCCACCAGGACTGATCGAGGTGGTGGTTCCTGTACCTCTTTGCCCCGGTTCAGCTGTTGCTCAAGGTTCTGGCTCGCTTGGAGCCTTGCCAGGGGTGAGTAGTCCTCTTGGCCCCGTGGTGGCCGGCCCAGCCGTAGTTTCAGGCACTGCTTGCCCGGTGTCCGAACCCGGAGGTTTTCCGCGGCTCCGCCTCATTCAATAGATCGGTCTGGTCCATTATGAGACTGGTTCACTCTTCTCCTCGAG